GACTGAGGCCGGACTTGTCCCTCAGACTAAGGTTGAGCTCTGGAACGCTGAGCAGCAGGAATATTATCTGCGGATGTTGGTTCTCTATTGCTATGTGCAGCGGTGTTTTCCCTTCGCAATCGATACTGTTGACGTTGGCGCCGTGCTCCACCAACGTTCTGACGACGGTGTCCAGACCCCACTGACAGCACAGATGCAGAGGTGCCGCCCCGTCTCTGGATTCAACGCCGCCTTCACCGTTCGGACCCGGCATTCGCGGCGAGTCTAGATCGCACACAGTTTGAATCAAGAAGATCGCGGCGGGCTCTTTGTTCTCATCGATGGCACGATGGAGCAGAGTCTGTCTGCATCCGTCTGGTCCCTCCCCCCAGCAATCGGTGTCCGCCCCGTGCCGCACCAGGATGCTAGCGATGTCGTCTTGGGCGGAGTCAAGCGCCGCCCACAACGGACAGTTGCCTAATCTATCCGGTGCGGACATGTCGACGCCCCTCAAGCAGAGGGAATCGACGACGTCCGCTAGATGGCAGTGGATGGCTAATTGCAGAGGAGTTTCGTAGTCAGCAGTCCTAAAACCAAAATAACATTAGAAAATAAAAATAAACAGATTGGAGAGGTTCGTCGAGTCTCGTTCCATTCTTCCAACATCTTTCTCGGGATTCAGGAACGACAACATCTGTGCTCTGCTCGCCAAGATACACGAATCTCTGTCCAGAAATCATACCATGCTGTTATGCTTCATTGACATTAAGTCCGCGTTTGATAATGTATCTCCGACCATCTTGAGGAATACTCTGGAAAGCATTGGAATTCCTGCACAATACATCAATTGCTTGATCCAGCTTACTAAAGACAAAAGCCTTCACATCTCAGGCTCCAACCCCGACTCCGATTCCAGATGTTCGTACATAAGTCTACCACAGGGCAGTCCATTAAGCCCTCTTCTCTTTAACCTGTACATTCATGCCATCAACGACATCCTTCCGGAGGGCGCGGAAGTCTTAGCATACGCGGATGACCTGGCCATCAGTTGTGCAGGAGCAGACTGACCAGTTGGAGGAAACAATGAACACAGCACTAGACAATATATCTAACTACCTGGGAGACAGACACATGGAGGCAGTTCCGGCCAAAACGAAAGCCATGGTTTTCACAAGGAAACGATCACCAGCACAGCCGCGATTAACAATCAACGGATCGGCCATCGAGATTGTGAATGAGTTCAGGTTTCTGGGCGTGACTTTGGATGACAAGCTTTCTTGGAAGTCTCAAGCCAGACAGTTATCTCAGTCATGTTTCCATGGTCTTAACATCTTGAAAGCGGTGTCGAGAAGAGACTGGGGCTG